GCGGTTGACTCCTTGATGGAGGTTGTACTTCTCCGACAATATATGTTTTCGAGAGGGTAGGTCCAGTTTTCCTGGTTCCTCTGTGTCAGTTGACACTCCTATTGTACTCGTTTGAGTTTTTAGTTATTAATATATTTATCGTTTTGGAAATAAAAAATAGTAACCCATTTGACTCGATTTAATTTGTTGATATATATTTTTTATATGTAATAATATTTAAATAGAAAAATATTATTAATTACATAATAATACAATTTAAAACATCTAAATGCCTAATCTAATTTAATAAATAATTTATACATTTTTATAATATTTAAATATGTACTTTTATTTATATAAAATGAATTATTTCCTTGCATACATATCAACCCCGTTTAATCAATAGTTACTATATAATAAAAACTTTCATCTCCAAAATATAATTATATAATAAAATAATAAGTTTTGCCAATTAGAATAATCCTCCCTATATCCTCCCTATATATTTTTCCTGAATGCGCTGAGCCTACGTGGCTGTTTCTGGTGATTCGGAGTCCTACTTGACAAAGAATCATGCTTCGTAATTAGGTCTGAACAAATAATATTGATATATTAATATTTAATAATTTAGGTTTTGGACATTCCATAAATATTAATTAGCTAACTTGGTATTCTAATATCACTTGTACTAATATAACCCTTTATTTCTTTGTAATTTTACATACTGAGGCACTAAGAGCATCCACAATGCTTTGGATCCAATCAAAAAAATTTGAATGCCACCTCGGAAATAGACTGAGTCTAAAAAAATATGTTCTCCAATGCAAGTGTAAGTGGACTAGGTCTTGCTAATGTGGCAGCAAGAAAAAGAGAACCCGTCTAACCTTAAGCCCATTTTAGACCCAAGTAGAGACCTAGTCTCCTTGCATTGAAGTAGATTTTGTTAATTTTATATATTTTTGTCCATGTCATCCTAGACTTAGACTTAGGTTCATTTACATTCCACATAGACAAAACTAGACCTAAAGCATTGCAGACTTTTGATTTGTTTCCTTCAATTAGCTATTGAATTATAAATGTATTTTAAAAGTCGATAATTTGTATTTCGTATCGGTTTTACATATATAATATATCAAATTAATCATCTTTTGATGATCTTCGATTTAACATCCATATTGTATATATAAAATAAATAAATTATATTTAAATTTATAAAAGGTATTTAAAAGGTATTTAAATTTTCAACTATTTTTTATAAAAGGTATTTAAATTTTTAAAAGAAATTTAAAAGGTATTTTAAAAGGTATTTAAATTATATCTAAATATAATATATATATATATATTTATAAAAGGTATTTAAATTTTCAACTACTTTTTCTCATTAATTATAGATTATAAAAAAAAAATAAGCAAGCACCCGTGTAATACACGGGCGTCGTACTAGTTCAATTACTAATTGTTAAAGTAATTATACATATTAGAAATTAATATGTCATCCATACTATATATTAATTTAGACTTTCTCCAGTCCACATATCTTTTTCTTGTACTCTGAAATTATAAGGATAATAATAATTCCAGAAATTCAAATTTACAGATAGTTAGATCAAATTCCACATCCACTGCCCACAGATATACAAAATTATAGTCTTCTTTTAATGGTCAACAATTTTTTTTTTTTTAATATTTTTTATTATTCATTGTTTATTATTGTTGTCATAAATGTATTTATTTAATAACATTCTTACCTATAATACACTTTTTTTTTTTAATATAATAAGTTAAGAACAAATTTAAACATAAATTTTTAGCATCGAAATTAATTTTTTTTAGTAAAATTATTTAAGTTTGTCTAAGCAATGTTAATTTTGGCAGAATTGTTCTTATCTTATAATATCAAACGTCATACTTATATTTTTATCCTTTCATATTTTAAATTATAATAATTATGTATTAAAATATGTATATTATTGGAAGAGTGTATATATATAAATAGTGGCCATTCAAAATTAATGTTATTTTTTCATTCATTTTCTTTTTTTCATTTAACGTACTAATATTTTTTTTAAGTATTTAATAATTATTACTAACATTAATTAATTTTAAAATTTACAGTGTTTTAAGTTAACGTAATTTCGGTAATGACGTGTCTTGAGAAGTAGAAAGCGAAAAAAAAAACAAAGAAAAAGAATACCTGCCGACGGGATTCTCTCAAAATTTTTACCACTGTACGCCTAAGGGTGTGTTTGGTAAAACTAGCTGATAAGCTAGCTGATAGCTGATAAGCTAGCTGATAGCTTATATGTGATAAGCTAGCTTATAGCTTATAGCTTATGACTTATAGCTTATAAGCTAGCTTATATGATAAAAGTGTTTGGTAAAAGTAGCTTATAAGCTAGCTGAAATAAAAAATTCAACGAGCTTATTTTGAAACGCTACCTAAACAAGCTTATCAAATAAGCTCGAGCTTTTTAAATAAGCTCGTCCTACCAAACAGGGCTTATTTAATACAGGAAGCTTATAAGCTAATCAAATAAGCTATAAGCTAGCTTATATGTCATACCAAACATACCCTAATTCGTCGTTGCCGCCGGTGATAATGATATCCGCGGTGACCGTTTCCCAACCGCCGCCGGCCGCCGCCGCCGCCGGGAGAAAGTTTCCGGTTATCGCTTACAGGTTTTCGGTAGTCCTTTTATCCATTTATTCTTCTGTATCTATTGAGGTTTGAAAAAGGTTTTGATGCTTATTTTGTTTGGGGCAAGAAATTATATGTCGCTGGAAAAGAAGGATTCGAAGCATCTTCAAGTGAGTTCGATTGATTTTTGTTTCAATTTTAAAAAATTTCATTACCCTAATATGAATCTCACATACCTGGTTTTGTTGTGATTTTGCCCATGGAGTGCTGCGTAGAGAGTCTCCAATGGTGGACTTCACAAGCCCAACACACACACACACACACACACACACACACTAGTACACACATTGAAAATGTGTTTATTCTAGTTTAGGTTGTGTATTTGGCTTGCTATGCAGGGTAAATTTTGAGGCCCATTTGCCGACAACCCGAAAATAGACTGCCTCAAGTCGACCGGTAAAGTTCCTCTCGACTCCTTCTCTTTATGATACTTTTCGGTGAAATATTGTATGATAGTTGAATATCGTATAGCGTTGGCTTTTAAGAACATGCGACAGAGATTACGGTTTATAGTGTGGATTGATTTTGGGAGATTATTTTAGTTGAAGCTATGGTGAAATAGAAACAAATAAAGTTGGGATTTTTTTTTGTAGCGGTTGAGATCTTGAAGTGATTTACAGATTACATATATGGTATGATGATATCGATAACTATGGGCCTCAAAGGCGGATTTTAGGGGTGGCGACAAATGAGTGATGGCTCGTTTTAGGTGATATGATATATTTTTCGGTTGAGAGAAAGATAACATGAAGTGTCGTCTAGGATGCGGATAAATTCTGGTGAATTTAGTTGATGGTGGCATTATGTTTGCAGATGCCAAATTATGCCATCTCATCCGAGCTAACTAATTGTCTTTTCTTTTTTTCTTTTTTTTTTCTTCTTTTCATTGTGCGATGAGGTGGCATCGAGTTCGATGGGCAAGGCATGACTAAAAGAGCAATCAATTCAATTTACATTTGTATTAACTTTTTCACCTTTTTACATGTTAAAACAATCCGTGCTCATGCTACTGCAAGCAAGTTACGAATACTAAACGTGACTTTGCTTATTCCTCTAGTGCAATGGATGGTTGTGACACCGATTTCTATGAATAAAATATAGTGTGATTTTTTCCGAGTGCATAGCGTAATCATTTTTCCCTTTTTTTCCGAGTGTATAGCGTATTGATTTTTACTCCTAACTGTATTGGGAGTGAAAAAAAATAATTAGTTCATTTTGTCAAGTTGAAGCTGTAAGCTTTTCTCTCTTACCAGAATCTTGAGCTGAACTATTATATTGGATCAAGTAGAAATTCAGATAGAGAATGTATCGTGTTAATTGTTCAGTTATTTACATGTAATGATATTCTTCTTCATATTCCTCTTTCCAGGTAGCATCGGAACTTGGGCAATGTGATATCTAAGGCATCGGTCCTGTGCTCTTGGGCTTTGATGCTGGATCCCGTTCTTTGTGCATCTCTTCTGCTGCTGGAGTGTTTTTTGGGAATCTCCATGAACAAAACTGTGTGAAGAATGTGAAATTCAAAGGATGAAAATTTGGAAATTTGAAGGGTTTTTGTAGGGTTTTAGGTCTTTGATGATGGATTGATCTTTTGGTACTGTATAAAGTCACAATTGAGATTTGAATTTCTCAACTTTTTCTTGGATAAATGATGTTCTGTTTTGAGAAAATTTTGAATTGGATGAAAATTTTGATCTTTTGCAATTAGAGCGGTTGAACGAAACGAGCCAATCTCGACCTGGCTCAGTTTGTTCGATAATCGAGCTGAGCTCAAGCTTGTTTAAAACTCATTTAGCTAACGAACGGTTTGACAATAGGAATTTCGACGTAATTTTTTGAAGTTTTAGCTTAGATCAACTCATTCAAGCTCGAGTTCGACTTGTTAGTATTGAAACGTGTTGAACTTGAGCACATTTAATGGCTTATTTAGTTAATAAGAATGGCTTGAACTGGAATTTGAGTATCAGAAATCATTCCATGCCCAACAAGTACACAAACAGAGCCTAAATATCAGAAATACTGAATCTAAAATGCAAAAGAACACAAAATTAGACTACTCTTATCAATAAATTATTGACCATAGTTAGGGTTTAACAAAGGCAAGAAAGATCATCTATAGCTTGTACATACTATACTATCTGACCTTCAAAATGAAGGATTTTTTCAGAAGAAAAAAAAAACAACAACACTAACATCTGCTCAAAAAATTCCACCCCCACAATGTATACTAAGAAAGTCAAGAGACCAAAAACTTCAGCACCTAAAAGTTTCCCAAAATGAAAAAAAAAAAATCCTTTCGACTTTCTAAAATCGCTTTATTGTTTCATTTCTGTGTTTGTTTAATTTCTTCTGTAACCGTCTCAACTGCTACCCTCCACAAGGGACTCTTCGACCCTCTGCACAGTATCGTGTGCATTATTTCCTTCTCCTCACAATTAGCTTTGCTCATGAGACTTCTCAACGCAAACCTTATTTCATCCTCGGTTAATGAATTTCCTTCAAAACTATCTGTTATTTCCCCTTCATCCGACCTCGTCTCACAAGAACTCTTTTGATTGGATGGTATATTATTATTGCCCGAACTTGACGAAACCTTCTTGTTTAGAAGCTTGTTTTCCCAATATTCGGAGCACTTGTGATGTGGGTCGAGTGCCTCGATTGCCTAAGTACATAAAGCTCCAAAATTAGCATTTTTTTAGGAGCAAAATTGCATTTTTAGTCATGCTGGTTTAACGTCATAACAACTTTAGCCCAATTTTTTCTTGAATGACTAAAATTGCAGCAAATTCTCAAATCCACAGATTTTAGATTAGCAATTTATAATTTAAAATTTTGTTGCTATTGCAGTCGTGTAATTAATACTCGATGTCCCAAGTTGCAATTATGTTTTTTCACGTGTTTTTTTTCCTTATTTTCAGATAGGTAGAGGGTTTAAACTATAAAGGGTGTACCTGAATAATTGGCAGAGAATGAAAACCAAACATTTCGAGCCCGTTGATGCTAGTCGAGGGCAGCAGAGGAGGCAATCCTTGCTTGCCGAACAGTTTCTGTTTCGCTATTTCTTGATTAAGTCTCAGTAGCACCATTTCCCAGCATTGGCCTGCCGAGCCGTACACAAAGGTCTCGTTTGGTTGCTCTTCCAAAGTAACCTGTTATATACAAAAAAATTCAAATTGTTTTAAAATAAATCAACCAGATACAGATCCTATAGATAACATGTCTGAAATTCATTAAAAAAAAAAAAAATCGAGTTCTTCAGATGGAAAATAAGGTCATAATCTGTATGTAATAAGTACCTTGAACAAAGGACCTAAGAGCCCACCATCCATGATTTCCGATGTGTAATGAGTCTTAACCAATGGGTCACAAATGTTGAAGAACTTCACGCGGCTTTTGTATCCTGCAAAAAGTTTTATATAACACAAAATATACAATGTAAGTTTGGCGAAAAGAAATGCAAAGTCCCTTAAGGGTCATTGCTTTAATTTTTTATTAAAAAGGGAAATATGTAACTACATATTTATTAGTTAGTCTAAATTGCATCTTAGTCATGCTAGTTTAACGTCGCCCCAAGAGGATTTAATATTTTGCTGCAATTCCACTTCTCAAAGGAGGACTGAAATGCAACAAATTTCCAAATTTATAGATTTATTATTAGCAGTATAGTCATGTTATTTAAAATTTTATTGCAATTTCAGTCCCGTAAATTAAAATTTTGTTGCAATTTCAATCCTCAATTGACTGAAATTGCAACAAAATATTAAATCATGGCAACAAAAGCCGAAAAGTCGGCACATTGGGACTAAAATTGCTAAACCAACGGGACTAAAATGCATTTTTGCCTTATTAACTATTTACCTTTAGGAAATATTGCATCCTTGTTACACCAAAGTTTCCCATGAACAACCGAACCGAAACTAACGGGCTCCACCACACATCTCTGCTCAAAACCTGAATCGACTTTCAAGACTTTATCTTCCTCCGAATCCTCTAAGTATTCATTTTTCAGAGATATGTTCGGTAAAAGATCGAACCCGAACAATTTGCTACTCGAACCCAAAGAGGCCTTATCATCATCTTTCTCATCTTTCGAAGCCCATATCTTGAGTGAATCAGTGCACCCTTCCAAGGCCTTCACCAATGTGTTCAACTCGTCTATTGTGTGCCTAACGAGGATTACCTTATCCTCTTGATCACAACAAGAAATACGGCTCGAATGCTTTAGACACGCAAACTTGTTTGACGAGCAATTGGAGCAGCTCACGGAAAATAGATGCAAATCGTAAAAGCAAGAAAAGCATTCTCGTTCAGAATTCAAATCGAAATCTTTCTCCATCTTTTTGAGCTGAATCCCTTTAACCCGCTCCATTCTTTTCTCCTCCAAATCAATCCTCGTCTGAAATTTAAAAAAAAAAAAGAAAAATGAATTCTAAATATAACATATAACATGTTAAATAAAATAAAATAAAGATTACATGCTTGGACGGACTTCTTGTGTGATTTTTTATTTTTATTATTACCCTGATTGCTTGAGTGAGCATCCCATTTTTCCCACAGAAGCTTTTCCACGTCAGATTCTCACGAGTCTCTTTCTTGAGAACCGAAACTTGCCAAATGGCTCGGATGGCTTTCCGGGCCGTAGCTAAAAGCAACTTATCGTGTGATATTGATGTTTTGCGACGTTGTGAGCTGTACAACTCGACGGCGCTTTGTCCATGCTGTAGCCAATCAACAGGTGCCACATTTACAGCCTCGGCACAGTTAAAGCCGCAGTTGAATCCCGCGTGGTAAGCCCTAGGGAAGGTGAGAACAAACTCCCCCGAATTCTGGACAGCTCTAAAAACCGGCACATTTTCTAGTTTCAGAACTGAAGGTGACAACTGCGTAACCTGGTGTACAAGTGAACTTAAAGTCATAAATATGCATTTTTTGTGTGTTTGATCCATTTACGGCAAAATTGCATTTTTAATCTTGCTTGTATAACGCCGTAGCAATCTTAGTCCCAAGGTTCCAACATTTCGCTTTTGGTCAGTGATTTAATATTTTGCTGCAATTTTGGTCTTCAAAGGACTATAATTGCAACAAAATTCCCAAATTCTCGATTAGCAATTTAAGTCCTGTAATTTAAAACTTTCTTGCAATTTCAGTCCTCAAATTGCAGCAAAATATCTGAAATTGCAGTAAAATATTAAATCACATAACCAAAAGACAAAAAGTTAAAATCTTGAGACTAAAATTGCATTTTTTGCCCTAATAACAGAAACACTAAGGATTTTTTTTTT